GTCAGGATGCTTGTGGCGTCTCTTAGGGGTCAATAAAAGCTTGCGCTATGCCGAGATTGGTCTCCTTCAGGAGTTTAATTCAAATTAATTTCTGATGAGCATCCCTGGCCTTTTCATATGGGAGTTCCCCCAGGGGGAGGTAGCATGGCCTAGGTGTAGTTTAAAGACTTGGTATAAAATGGTTCTTAGTTGTTGCTTATTTCTTGCTTGAGTAAGACACCTATCTCTGTTAGTGGCTCTTTCCAACCAGGAAATGGTTACAGTTAAAGGGTCAAACACGATATCAAACATTGCGTCATTGATATCATCACAGTGGAATTATCATAATTTTACGCATGTTCAATTACAGCTTTTCCCAAGGCTGGAAATCCTTGAGAAAAGAAAAAAACAAAACAAAAAAACACAAAACAGTTTATATACATTGTGATTACTCAAGTTAATTTTTATTGACTCAGTTTCTGTCTCTTGCTTTTTAGATTATTGGTCTCCTCAATGTATTTACGCCAGACAGATCATATGAAGAGTTTCAAGATCTGTGAGTATATGTTATTGTGCACATGTATCGAATACAGGGATTTCAAAAATCGAATTACTTATCTAGAGGGTCAGTCAGATTTAACGGTACAGTGGAACCCCGCCTTGTGGCCAATCTGTTAATATGGCCACCTCGTTATTACGGTCACTTTGTCCTGGCCTGAACAAAAGCTCAGTCAATCATTTTCTTATTTAAAGAACTCCTTTACCACAGCCACTCTGGTAACACGGCCAGATTTTTGTGACCTTTTGGTGACCAAATTAATGGGGTTCCACTGTACAATGTCTGGAAACAGATGCTTACATGTACTGATAGAAAAATAGAAAAAAATGTAATCAACTTATCAGGTAACTCACATTCAAACTGTTCTGAGACCTTGAATCTACAAAATGACTGTAGAAAATAGTTGTTGTACCTCTGATTTGTTGTAAGCCTATTTTTCTATAGTGGTCTACTTTGGAACTCTGGGGAAACAGTTGAGAGACATTTTCTGAATTTTTCAGTTTTCTTAAGGTAGTAGGAAACTTTTAACAGTCTGGGACAACAGGGCTCGGAAAAAACTCGAATTCCAGCTTGCCCTTGGGACAAGTAATTCTCAAATTTAACTTGCCCTGGACAACTTAGTCTTAGTTTGCTATTTTGATGATTTAGTTGGCGGACAATGAGCCTCATCCCTTACTCAGTGGGCAAGGGAGAATGAGAAGTTACTTGTCCAGAAGGAAAATCTACTTGTCTGGGACAATGGAATGGCACTTTTTTTGAGCCCTGGTCAAGTTAGTTGCCTTACCATGTTGTACTAAGAATGAATTGTGACCTAAATATATTTTTGCTATAAACTTTGTAAATTCTGTATTCCGTCTCTTTCCAGATATCTAGTGACAGAGTTGATGGATGCAAGTTTAGTCCAAGTGATTCAGATGGATTTGGACCATGAGAGGCTCTCATATCTAATGTACCAGATGTTGTGTGGAGTTAAAGTAAGGTTTTGGGTATTGTTATTTCAAATTCATGTCCACATGCTCAGATAGGTGTAACTTCATTCAATGTATAATATACTAGAGCCTGAACACAAGGCACATGGATTTATGAAAACCATGTCATTGAAAAATGGGTTCTTTTTCACCAAATGACCTAGTATGCACTTAAATTTCATGACTCCTTAAGGTCTCAAAATCACTCCAAGTAAAAAGAAAACAACAACAACAACAAAAAATTCAGTACACAAAAAGGAAGGTAAAAGAGTGGAGGAACAAAAAAGACTGACTGACTACTTTGCAAAAAAATTCTTGAGCCGGGCGAGATTTTCTTTAACATTGTTTTCATAAATCCAGACAATGAAGGGCTTGAAAAAAACTTGAATTCCAGCTTGCCCTTAGGATGATTAGCTCTCAAATTTTGCTTGCTTTGGGCAAGTCTGAGTTTGCTCTTGGCAGATGACCTGCTTGATCCCTGGGCAAGTGAAGATGAGAAATTACTTGCCCAGAAGGACAATGGGACGGCACTTTTTTCAAGCCCTGCAATGTATATTACGTAATGGTAATAATTATTATTATCAATGAAATGAAATAAAGTCTTGTTTCTTTTTCACTCAGCACCTTCATGATGCAGGCATCATTCACAGAGTAAGTCTGTAACACTTTAAAAGTGATGTATCACTGACTTCGACATATTCTTGTGTAACATACAGTTCAGTGTCCCAGACAAGTGAGGGGTCTCAGGTCAAAAACTTGACAAGATCAGCTACATGACCCAACAAATTAATAAATTATTTGGTGGCTGCAGTGGGAAATGCCTGTTGGAATTCCTTTTTGACACCCTACCTTGAAAACTTATCTGGAACCCTGACAGTCATGAGAATCTAAGATCTGATACATGTGATCTCAGCAGAGATGTGTTATTTGAAACCCAATTCACCATAGAAAATTGTAGTTTAAAGGCTGACTGACAGTCTCTACTGTAAAGAGATCTAATTTCAAATGCTCAGTTATTTCGACCTCAAAACCATTTCCCTTGGATGTGACCTTCAGTCATTTACTATTGGCTATTTCGAACTCCTGCTATTTGAAACTATTTTTCGTTCCCCTTGAGAGTTCGAAATAGTGCGGTTCACCTGTATAAGCAACCTCAACATTTTTGTCCTCTGCACTTTTCAAAACAAGTGTTATGAAGTCATTTTCGTTAACAAAAGGACTTGATTAAAACCAAATTCTCTTGTAAATATTAAAGAAAATGATGGAGAGATAATAGGAGAATTGGGATTTTAACCTTGGGAGTTATTTCACATTTGCAGGACCTAAAGCCAAGTAATATTGTTGTGAAGTCAGATTGTTCACTTAAGGTATGAAAGCTATTAATATTAATATTTCTTTTTACAAATTTTTTTGAAGTGTTGTTTTATTTCTTGAAAGTAATTATTTCAGCCAGTTAGTTTTTTTTCAAAAATCTGAGGCCTGGATGTTATATATCCTACAAATGTTTGAAAATAGTAAGAGAGATATACAACAGTACTGGCCAGCAACATGTAGTACCTGGTGTTAGAGCTTAATCTTGAGGAGATCATCCACTTGGAATCAACTCATAGGCCTCCTTCAGAATACCTTTGTAGATGTAGATTTACATGTAGTGTGATTTTATTTTGGGGAGCAGGGATGGTGCAGTGGTGGCAGAGCACTTGCATCTCATCAGTGCAACCTGGGTTTGATTCCGGCCAAGTGCCATTGTGTGGATTGTTGTTGGTTCTTGTTACTCCAAGGGTTTTTGACTGAGTTCTCTAGTTTTCCTCCTTCTGCAAAAACCAACACTCCAAATTTCAATTCAACCAGGAGAGAGGACCTGCGTGAAAACCAGCTAAGGTTGATGTGGCTTTGTCTCTAAACATTGTAATTTAATATAAAGAATTATAGCACTTGTTTGTATATTTAACATTCAACAGATCCTTGACTTTGGCCTTGCACGTACAGCTGGTGCAGCATTCATGATGACTCCTTATGTCGTGACGCGGTACTACAGAGCGCCTGAGGTTATTCTGGGTATGGGTTACAGTGAGAACGTTGATGTGTGGTCTATTGGATGCATACTGGGTGAAATGATACGAGGAAGTGTCATGTTTCCTGGAACAGATCGTATCCTCTTCAGAAAAGAAATAGTTTTGCGTGTATTTTAATATGACATATAGTGGTATCCGGATTTCTCAAGCCCTTGATTTTTCAAACCTCTCAATAACTTGAACCAACCATTACTTCCCTTCTGTTGAACTCTGCTATTTTATCCCCGATTTCGCGAACTACCCAATTTTTCAAAGCAATTTTTGTTTCCTTTGGAGGTTTTAAAAATCGGGTTTCCATTGTAATGCTGTCATCATATCATGTGATCTTCTGGCTGAGCATCACTCTGTTGGTCGAGTCTCAAGATGTCTTGTTGGGAAAAACACCTTTCTTTTTAGTGATGAAAATTTTTTAACAAACTTCCTGAAAATGTTAGTAATCACAGAAAACATTTAGACTTTCTAGTGTTGAGTAAAACATTTTGTCTTATCTTTATTTACTTTTAGTGATGTCTTTTATTGTAATTTATTTATTGTAATTTGCATAGTAATTGTTTTTTATCCTCTAAAGTTTTAACGTTTAGAAGCACGGCCCCTATGGATACTAGGCTTTGAGCTGAATGGGGTACCCTATTGAAACAAAGTTTCACTTTACATTATTTTGCTTTACTTGCACGCAGGTTGTCAAAATGTCAGTTAACAGCAACAGATCCTTTCAGAAGTACACTAACATAAATAATCACACTATCAGGGATGATGCAGTTGTGAGAGTGCTCGCCTCCCACTAATGTGTCCCAGGTTCGATTCCCGGACCTGGCGTCATATGTGGGTTGAGTTTGTTGATGGTTCTCTACTCTGCTCCAAGCGGGTTTTTCTCCGGGTACTCCGGTTTTCCCCTCTCCTCAAAAACCAACATTTCCAAATTTCAATTGGATCTGCATTCACAGGCATTTCTGAATGAGCTCTTGTGAACTCCTTGGTGCTCCGTGAGTAAACAAATTACATGTTTACATTTTACAAATTACATATTTACATATTTACATACATACATTTTACTCTACATTGTACATGTATGGGATGTTAACTACTGATACTCCCAAATTCAAACCATTGTATATTCTGTGATATAAAATTTTAGACATGTATGTAGATGTGTGACAGCAATATTCTGTGTGACTCTGGATTTCATAATTCCTTGACCAGCTTATCAGATATTGATCAGTGGAATAAAGTCACTGAACTCCTCGGC